AGGCTCTTTTCACACATGAACACAAAGGACATTCAGAAGAATACTCCTGCAATTACCTACAGACCTTTTCCACCATTTGTTTTTTCCCCCCCACATGCACTTCACAGTGAGAGGCTTTCTGCTGCAGATGCGCTCTCACAGCATGATAAACGAGTGAAGAGGAGGAGCTCATGTCCACAAGGCTTAGGAGAAAGGCTATCAAGCAGATGTATAGCATGTAAAAAATATATTTTCTTAGCAATATGATGAAATCTGTGAGTTGGGCTCCCTTTAGAGAGCAATGAAATCTATAAACAGAGATATCATTTATCAGAAGAATCCTAAAATGTTCATCAATGCTCTGCAGGTTCGCATACAGTGCTCCTTTCCGTTTACTTTTCAGGACTGGATGAAACATTTGACCAATAAGGTGAGCGATCCAGTAAATCATGAAATATCTCATATTAGAGTGGTCATTGGAAGTTAACGGGGCCACATTTTGTAATGCAAAGACGGAAATCTTTCTGCCTCATACTGAAATCCCTTTCAACTTAAAACTGGAGCAAAAACTTGATCTGAAGCAGCTTGTGGTTTATTCTCGAAGCTTCATTGCTATGAGTCCATCAGCATCCCACATCTTCACTTGGTAGGGAGTTGTTTAAAATGTTTTCCCTTTTGGCTTTCTAGTGGACAATGTTTTTCAGGGAAAACCAAAGGATGGACAAAGAGCAACCACTGAACAATAAGCAGCCACCACCATGCTTTACTGTTGGCACATTAATTGTTGGGGGGTTTTAAGCATTGAAGAACAATCAGCCAGACTATTCTCCTTTGGAACAATCTTCTCTAAACTTGACGGCTTCAGGTAAAGAAGGAATACAGGAGATTTTCCTCACAGACCTAAACCCGTACTTAAAAGGTTTCAGCTCCTGTCACATCTCTTTACACCCTCTATCCTTTCTTGTCCATTAAGTTTAGAAAATAGTTATATTTTAGAGGTTTGATGTCGTCCCACAGCACCATTTAATCATGCATGTCATCACTGTGCCATTGTGTAAACTTGATGCGGCCAAATTATTCGTACGCTGCTGACGGATTCCTTTTGTACACCAAGATCCTTTGGATGAGTCTCTCTTTGACATGGAAATGCTAAAGGCTGGAAAAACTCCAACTATCAGGAGGACTGTTCAAGGACAGCAGAACATCATTTCAGGTCAATCAGATTCACTGTAGTTGGTGTGAACAGAAGAAAATAAAAAAAGGAAAACAATTAAAAGTGTTTTGTTTTTTCAAAGCCATTATGTTTAAGGCATTAAACCTATGCAACCAGGATGATGCACCTTTATTTTTTTCTTCTTTCCCTCCCTTTTAGCATGTAGAGTGAATACCCATACCTGCTACTTGTACTTATTTTGTTAAGAACTGAAATATCTTCACACAATACACTGTAACCACCAACTCAATGCTTCAGAGGACTAATAATCTAGAGCCGCGTTAAGAAAGCTGGATTTTTTGACAAGGACAAGACTGCAAAGGATCTCCTTCAACAATAAAGAGCATAAAAAAAACCATGGCTGGAATGAAAAATATCAGAGCTGAATGAAAACTAGTGAAACTCATTAAGCAGTATTTGACAGAATTAGCATTGCTTGCGTTGTTTACATGTTTCAGAATACGCCTGACATTTTTCAAGCTTCTAAATTCAATCATAATTCCAGAAATTGCTGGCTTGTTCAATGTGAAGCTGGGCGGCAGATAGCGTGAGAAAAGACAACAGCACCAACCAAGACTGTTAGACAGATGGTGCAAAATCAAACATTTGACTTTTTTGCTGTCAAAAAGGTCAGAAATTAACCAGTAAAACAGAATCTAGTAAAGAAACAAAGTATGATTTATAGATAGAGCTGACAAAACCTTTTTTTTTAGGTCTAGAAAAAACTAACAGCATGGAGAGAAGTGCATCATGAAATAAAGATGGAATAAAAAACGAACTAGGAATTTTAGATGGTGGTTTAAGGCACCACTCAAGGTAACGCTTCACGTAGAGGTTGGGAGAAAACCATCAGAGCGGATGGCTTGTTTTCAGATTTAACAGTAGGAAGCTATGGTAGCTTGGAAAAATAATCACAACCCTTAAACTCCATCATATTTTTTTTATTGTATAACAATAAACTGTGATATAATGTGCTAGGATTTAAATAAAAGAAAAAAATACAACGGTGTTCATAATTTCTGCACCGATTGAAAATGTCAAGCTTATATGTTTGTGAACTATGATCCTACACATTCAGCCAGAGCTACAACAGAATGGCGTGGAGCCAAATGTTGGAATAATCCGGTCAAAGTCCTAAATCTGACCAAGATTCTCAGGCAAGGTTTAAAAAAGGCTTTTCACAGACCCTCTCCATCACCCTGACTAATCTCAGTTTATCTAGCAAAGCAAAACATACAAAAGGTTCAATCTCTAGACACACAGCGCTACAAGATTTCTTTCTTAATTAAAAATGCTTGAGACCACATATCATTTTCCTTCAAGATCAAATATATGGAATACCATGCACTTCAAACAAGGGCTCACTAATAGTGACAGGATTCTGTAAAGATATACCCTTGCTCTCTTTCTACTCTTTAGCTTTAGTGTCATTGGATCCTTCATTAGTGTCACTGGTGCACTGGATCAGGAATGGTGCAAAAGCAGAACAGCAGCATGCATTTTTATATAAACTTAGCAAAACTGTAAAAAAAAAAAAAGTAAGGTAAGAAAAAAAAAAGTAAGGTAAGAAAAAAAAAAGTATAAAATAAAAACAAGCAAAAACCACAAACAAACCCTTCCTTGCACATTGTGAAATAATTGAAAACTGCCTTTATTGCACTTGGGGAAAAAAAGCACTGCTTAGTATTTTTTGGGGGGGTGGAAAGAAAATCTTGAGAAAAACAGATCAAGACTTTTCACAGCTGCAAGGCCTTTTAAACTTTTGAGTATCAAAGACGATCTTTGCTCCTCTTTCTGTGACAAGTTGCCAAGAAGCTGCACTGTTCTGTAACTGTGGAAACCGGTGCCTCTTTACAGCCTCACAACTGAATCCAGGCAGCACACAATGCTACAGTAAAGCACAGAGGGGTGGGGGGGAAGCATCGCAGGTACGTATGTGCTAATGAATACTAACGAACGTGACACACGAGACCACCCGTGATTAAAGAAAAGGTCAGCTCTGCACATTTCCTTCAAGATCACCTGAACCGTGCAGAACACTCTCCTGGCTTTAAACCTTGGCCTTATAAAGAGCAATCAAGTTATCAACATAATTGAAAAGGTAAACGTCACCCTGAATGAGATGGAGCCCCATGTCCTTGAAAATTAATAAATGAATGCATCAGCCATGGAGCCTGGCTGAACGCCACACAGTATAGGAAAACAGCGAGGGAGTGGCGGTGCGTCCCGGCTGGCTGTCCGCTCCTCCCCACCAGCCCATGTGACACAGTTCCAACAGGGAATAATCCTGCATTTTGATGACAGACATACCAGACCGGATCAGTTGGATTCCATGTTGACTGCCTGCAGTGATTACCTGCAGCAGCTGAAATATGGAGGCCCAAGAGTGCCAAAAAAATGAAGGACGATCGTTCCTATAAATATAATAATCTAAGCTCTATATAAAAATACACATTCAAATTTCAAAGTTTAATAGGCCAATAATTGTAATAGCTAAATGTTTGACATGGGATCAGTTTATAAAGCAGCATAGCGGTTTTATTTTATAAGGTTGACAACAACAGAAAACTAAGTTGATATTCAGCTCATTTCGACTATGAAACTGTTTTCTATTGTTGTATTTTCATTAAATAACAGAGATAATATAAAAGTATAATTACTCATATAATAATAAAAGTGTGTTTTTGCGATCATTTTTTAAACCAACAGTGTGAATTATGAAATAAACACACTGCTCTAATGGGCCCCATCATCGTCCAAATATGTCTAGTCTTCGTTTTAAAGCGTAGTCAGGACCAGTTGCAGATAAAAAAAATAAAGAAAACTTTCTATAAGCCCCCCCATAAAAAATAAGAAAAAAAAAATAGAAGCACGAAAACTTTATAATGAAAAATGTGAATATTTTTCGAATTTGACGCGTACCCATTTAGCAAATTTAAATCCGTAATTGAAATATGCGCAATTTGCCGGCCAATATAAAAGCAACTACTGACGATTAGTTACTGCACAGCTTATCTCATTTATTTATCAAGCCACATAAATGATTTAAACCCCTTTAATGATGTAAAAAGCATTTAAGGCTTACAGAATGCAAAATAAATGAAATTATACCCAATTGTTGCAGCTGTCAAAAGATTAAACAAGCTTTTTTATTTAATCCCCCCATCCCTCCTTTCATTAACTGTCTTTACAATCAATTTATTCATCCACATCATTTTTGGCACTTTTAGTCCTCCATAGGGCTTCATTCAAACCATATTCCTGCAGTAAAGCAGCACCAGATCAACCATATCGACCTTATTTAATGAAGTTTGGATTGATCTGCAAACGTGGCTCTGGTGGAACAGGTGAGGCTCGAATCTTCCAGCCTAAAACAAAGTTTGACCTGCAGTTTAAAGGCTCCACGCACGCAAACAGCAGCCTGCGGTCAACAACCACAGTTGCACAACCAGCAGAAGATGCAGTCAGACCAGTCCGGTTCCACGGTTCAACACCATAACTGTCAAGGTCCCACGGATATTCCGCTCTGCACTCCTCAGATCACTATTGTCATTGTGCAAAGATGCAGAAATTCCATTCACGGTTCACCAAGAGAAATATGAAGTCCAAAAAAAACTTATCCCTGTTTTGAGTAAGTTGCGCAAATATGCGCCATTTTTAGGAATATAAATGAATAGAAGCATTTGGAGTCCCTCGTGGGCGAAATTCAGGAAAAACTTTTTTTATGTTTAAATAAAAAACTGTCTCGATCTAAACATCTTTATTGGCTTGCTGTCATTTGCAAACCGCTCCGAACAGCTTTACTTACCATGGATCAAACTCGTGGATGATGCTCTCGAAGCGGATCACAGCGAAAAGTCTGGAGCTGAATCCAGCGAGGCAGGCCAGAAACAGAATACTGAAGGAGAGTAGAGACTGCCACCCGGCCGGCTGTGTCAGCCCGCCAGAGAGGCCTCCTTTGCCCCCTGCTCCTCCGCCTCCAGCGCCCGCTCGGCTGTTCCCGTGGACCGAGCTCCCGGAATTACTGGACGCTTTGTGCTTGCCGTCGCTGGCTGCGTGGTGCTCCGCCATTTCTGCGTGGTATTTCGGTCGGATTCAGACAGACAGCGTCCGTCCCCCCACTTCTCCTCCTCCTCCTCCTGCCGTGCTCCCGAGTCTCCCTCCGCTCCGTACCCGCTGTAAACTCTCCCCGGTCTTCCCCGCTGGAGGTTCCTCTCTCTGCAGCTCTCCCGGTGTGTGTTTGAACGTATTTTCAGCTGAAATCGCAGCCCTTATGTCCCTGCCCGCATAGTCCTGCGCCACAGAGGAAGAGCCGCTCGTTCAATCCGCTTCACGACTGAACGCCGGTGGGAAGAGGCGGGAGGGATGAGGTGGGCGGAGCATCCGGGAGCACTTGTGGCCTTTCAGAGATCGACAGGTACGCGGGGGCGGGGTTCCAGGCGTATGCACCAATAGAAAATAGGATTAGCTAAGATTGACAAGTCACTTCACCAATCGGTAAAGAGATAAATCATGGCCAGAAGTGATTGAAAAAAACCGATCATCTGCTGCATAGAAAGGCTAAATAAATACAAAATATCACGCTTTAAATTGTGTCTTGACTATTCGAGTACTGAATATTCCTGTGTTTTTATTAGATATGGGTATTTTATAAATACAGCTATATTTATATGTTACAATTTGGACCAAAAATAAGTAACCAAGTGGAATAAGTAAATGCATAGTCAAGAATTCCTCATCATAAAATTAAAATGTATCTTCCCAGAAGTTGTAGGCCTAGTAATTTTTCTTCTCCAAAAAACATTTTACAGACAGGCTATCCCTTATTGAAAATGTATTATATTTCTCCATATGGTGTTGGTTCAACTCTACCACCTTGTGGAATAGTAACTGCCTTCATCATATTGTAAAAGTGTGTTCAAAGATTACTGATGTTTCTGTTCCCCACCTGGGCATTTTGTATGAGCAGCAGAGTAGCTCTCTTATTCTAAATGGTCAAACGTAAGCTTTGTTTACAGGGTTTAGAAGTTGCAATATGGCTGCAGGCTTCACTACCGGCTTGTAAAACCCAGAGAAGCAGAGGAACCTTTGTCCCCAATGCATTACTGATTCTGAGCAGTTTTATAACAAATATCTAATGAGAAATATCAGAGTATTTCCTATGTCCATCATCATAATATTGTCATCAGATCTGTTGTTCGCTTATTGCATCGTCTGTATCTATTTATGCTTACTCTTAGCCTATTCAATTGCCTCTGTGGGATCAACAAAGGGATTCTGTTCTATTCTTTTCTACTGCAGCGATCACTATGTTTCAGTTGGCATCTAGTTCCGGGCATCTAAGTGATGCAGTGAGTTGCTTCTCCTTTCCCCACCAACCATGTCAGAAGGCACGTCCTGTGGTTGCTCAAAGGAAGTTTGCCTGATTCAGATGAGAGCTCTTTGCATGCATCAACTAAAGAGAATTCACAGAGATTGCTGAAACTACAACCGCTCAGTTAATTTGTGTCCAAATAGAAGGACACCGAGGAAACATCACCTTTGCGGAATAAATTGGGCAGGAAAAAAAAGTCTGAAATGATTATTAGCAGGGATCACTTAAACTTTTGTTGAGATCAAACTCCATAAATTCAATGGCAGAACTCGTGGCCATGACGATAAATTGAGAGTAAGAGCAATTCCACACACACATTATGAAATGAACTGACTGGACTGGGTCCAAACAACTATGCAGCCCTAAGAAAATCGCTGATTAATGAGGTTTATTTAAAATAAAAAGGTTATATTTGCTTGTGAGCATGAAGATTAGACTTTGAAGCAAAAGCAGAAGGTATTCTGGTTGGATTAGTCCAGATTACTCCTCCTCCTCGTGCACAAGACGATGCACCCATCATGCTAAGTGCTTACTGCATAATAGCACAGCTATAAGCATATTTTGAGCACATAACATTGCTGAAACTACATTTGAGTTAATCAGCCTACCCAAATATACTGAATGATACACAATTCATGTTTTTCTTCCCTGAAGGCATAGGTATATGCAAAAATAGCAATTCCAGAATTTCTTAAGCTCAGTTCATGCAACACCTGTTTAAGTTTCACATACCAATTTGACTCCATGAGTCCTTCCACCTTATGAATCTAGAAAATATAGGAGAAAAAATGTACAGTCATCTATATGCAGTTAATTAATTGATTTTATTTATTTTTAAAGCACATGTAAATAAATATAGCGAGACAAGAGATGCTGTTTTTCTTTGTTTTCTTTATTTGGTGGAACCTCAAGACTGAAAGTAATAAAGAATTTAGATTTTTTTTTATGCAATGGCATGAACTGAAAGCACAGACGGGGTTTCCCACTGATGCCTTGGTTGCAAATTTGTGCTCGACATGTAAAGTTTGGCATGCTATTTGGAGAATTTCATCACCGCTAGTAAAAGTTATCTACCTCTATATTGTAACTTCACAGGGAATTTAAGTTTATCTATTATGTAATTTGCAGCGTTAGTAGTTATACGGTGGCCACAGATCTTTATTTACCCCGCAAACATGTCCAAACTTCCAATGCAGCAAACACACACATACCAGTAGTCTTATTTGCGAGGAAGCTTTTTATCTATAAATATGGGTGAGATGAGATCCATACAAGCGACCGTCTTATCGTTGCGTCCCCGCACCTCCTCGTAGAGAAATGGGTTCATGCATGCTCCCTTTTAATAGGCATTTCCTCTCAGGAGCAGGTACAGGGTCGTGCATGTGCATTTTTTTTTCTTTTTTTTATTTTTAAGTGGAGACGGTGAGTCTTTCAAAAATTCACGAAAATCCTCCACTATACCTTAAAGCAGAAATTTGAGTTTTTACTTTTAGCAGTGGTCCTATAAAGGCAGGCAAAGACAAATAGATCTTATGTCACCTTTATAATATTTGTTTTCAAAATGTATTGTATTAAAAATGTCCTATTATTGTAAATTGTAACATACTTTTGTTTAGAAATACTAGTTATACCTAAAGCTCCACTTGAGACAACAGTTATTTAGTGTTAGCTGATGTTAGCAGCATGTGAGTTGCTCTTTATGTAATACAACAGAGTTTGACTGCAATGTCAATAAAACTTCGTTTTATTTTTATTCTATGATTGTTTTAATCCTTGTTTTAATGCCTTGAAAAAGTATTTAAGACTGAGAATATATATTTTTAGTTTATTTGCTTATTTTTATTAAGTCTGCTTTCTCATAAATAGCGACATGTGTTTTTTAACACATACCCGGATGTGTTAGACCTATTAAAACTTTATACCTACAACTGAAACAAATCTCACCGATTTTAATATACTTTCTAATCCGAAGGATAATAAAGTCCACAGAGCTCATCATCCTCCAAATATCAGTTGCCTTTCTGTTGACATCAATAGGCAGGTGGGTGAAGATGAATTGCCTCAGTGAGAGCAATATTTCTGTTGCTCATGGATGTTCAGGAGTGTTGAAGAGGTAAGAAAGACTGATGCGTTTCATCATTCTGTGTCCCACAGCAAAGACAACAACCCCATCATTCATCAATCCTAGGAAGCTTTTATTGAGCTCAAACATTTTTTTTCTAACATTTCAAATAATCACCTTATTAAAGCAACTGTCCAGACTTTTCTATACCATTCAAACTCATGGTAGATAACTGAGATGGTCTATAGAGCATGACATTCTCAGTTTTTTTTTATTTCTTTTGCTAGTTTGTTTTGAATAATTTAATAAAGATACTATTTATGCTCCTTTTGCTATTTCATATGCCTCCAGGCACTGGCTTAGATCTAAGCCAGTGTTTCCCAACCTTTTTTGGCTTGTGCTCCCCTTTGGGTATTTTGTCTTACCATGAGTACCCCTCTCAGTCAACAGTATTGATGATTGTCTAAAAGTACAATAACTGTTTATAAAATAAAAGCTATTTTACTTAATCTTTTAATTTGATCATTACAAATTAGGTATTTTATGTTTTCCATCTCAAATAAAAAAACATAAATATGTTGCCTGGAAGTTAGTAAGGAATCAAAATAAAAACAAATTAAAATCACATGATAAACCTTTGATGAGCTCCAATAGTTCAGTGAGAAAAACAGCTGATCCCAGGCTGTTCTCTACATCCAGTCTGCTCCTCTGCTTGGTTTGGATGCGTGTCGAAGCTTAAGATGAACTCAAACATAAGAAAAACTTTTCGGTTGATAAAAGCTTGTTAATTTTTTTAATTGGGCAGCCCTATTGTGTTTTACCACCTAAGAAATTTAAATCCTTTCATGTCCCCTTTGCAATACACTCGCAGACCACTGGGGGTAAGCGTACCCCTGGTTGGGAATCACTGCTCTAAGCTATCAGGGAGGGAATACAGCTTTCATGCATAGAAACCCTTCAGTCTGAAAGACTTGAAAAAGTATAAACACATTTTTACCTGCAAAGATCTGAAAATGTGTATCCAACTTTAAGCTGAGTGCATAAGAATTTCCGAGGAAATCTATTTAAAGTACATATCTGATATAATGTTTCCTAGAATAATTTTACAATTCTAGTGCATCACATAACCATGAAGCCCTGAAACATTTCAGATTTATCAGATCTATGATTAAGTCCCAACAGAAATAAGAACTTTATTCCCACCCTCTAACGATGCCTTCAATGGGCCTTTTTCAGGTCGAATGTTCTGGGGACACTGTTGCCGAACTAATGATACCTCCTATAAAACCTTTTAGCATTTTTTCATCATATACACAAACATTTTATGTGATAAACAATTGGCATGCATCTGCGTTAAGATCACTTTACCCCAACACTGCCCCTTTATAAAACCCTACATTCAGTTGCCTTCATTAGTTCTTCTTGGTATAAATCTAGCTGTTCTGAGAAGGCCTCAAAGGTTATTTTTAGATAGCAGATTTTTTTAAAAAGCATCATGACAACCAAGAAACACAGCAAACCGGTCAAGTAAGGAGAGCGGAAAGCAGGGTTAGATCATAAAACAATATTCTAAGCTTAAAGCATCTCACAGATTACTGTTGGTTCCATCATCTGAGAACAGATTATTACGGTACATAACTGCAAAACATTGCTGAGAAACTTTGATTAATAGTCCTGCGTGGAGAAATAAACCTATGAAAGAATGTACATTTTCAGTCATTTTGCCAATTTTTCAAATGGGAAACATCACGTTGGCAGCAGGTGTGGTGTGGGGAATTTCTCCCCCAGCATGGACATGTAAAAGCATATTAAATCACTGTAAACCCTGTTAGATTCAATAGAAGGCGTAAGACTAAGGTGCCATAGAGTACAACTGCAGGTGCATGGTTTATATCAAAGCATACTGATCCTTT